TCACATGTGCTTAGGCCAAGGAAGACCCGTGGGCAGCAGCAGCACGGTTTATTAAGCCAATAAAATCTTAAGTGCGTGATCTCTGGAGACCCCTGAGGTCTTTTTATGTGCACGAAGGGGCTGGAGGGTTTCCTGGGCCTGAGTCTTTCTTGCTGCCTGGAACAGGTGGGTGTGCAGTAATCTGCCCTCTCCCCTGTGTCCCCATCCCAGGAAGGCACCTGTCACCTGACAGCCAGCCCCGCCACCTGCCCCCATGTTGGGGACCCTGGATTGGCCTGGCCTACTGTCCTTGCTCGGACGTTGGGAGAGCACGGGACAGAGCCCGGCAGACTTATGCTCCTGCCCTCGCAGTGCTGGTGACCTGCCTCCTGCCCACCGCACCTCATCCATCAGACGTGCTCAGGCCACAGCCCCTTCCTCACCCCTGCTACACCCTAGGAGGGCGGGTCAGGCCATGGCTTGCTGCCGCCGGCTTCTCTGTCTCTGAGAAGCTCCCCTGGCCCTCTTTTGAAAATCTGTTCTTTTCCTTGTCTCTCCCCCCGCCTGCCCCCTTCTCTTCCCAGCCCTCTTCTTTGTCTCCTGAAACTTCTCCTGGTGTGCCTAATTCCTGAAGGCTGCAGCGGCTTCGCAGACGCGGCCCCACCTCGCTGCGCACACACAACCCTGAGAATCGATTCAGAAAACGATTAGTTACAGTACAGCAGCGCTGCTAACTGTGGCGCTTTGCTTTGCAGTTATTGATACATCATCAGAATTGAGAAGCGATAGTCAGGAAGGGGGAGGAGAAGGAAGAGAGGACACGCCTGTCCTGAGGTGTCAGCTCTGACGGGGGGAGGGATTTTCAGGCCCGAGCTGAAGCTGGCACCTGGGTCGATCTCATCACAGCTACGCCTGACCTCACACAGGCTTGGGAGGGCCGGTGTGTTCCAGGTTTGTGAGAGTGCAGTCCTTGTCCCCAAGTAGACATGAGGCCTCGGGCTGCCTCCTTCCTCACCCGATTTCTGCCATCATGGGGGCACCACTGCCCACTCCACCAGCCCAAACTGCATGCTGGATAGACCATGAAGTGGTGGTCTATGTCTGGGTGACAGCACTGGGCCAGACCAGACCAGGGTCCCCACGATGAGGGCAAGTGGCAGAGCTGGCTGCTTCTGTTGATGGACAGGGTCAGCTCCAGAATCCCAGTCTGGGAGAGACCCCAGAGGCCCTGACTCAGGGTTCTCCAGGGAAACAGAGTCAATAGGACCTAGGTAGGTAGGTAGGTAGGTAGGTAGGTAGGTGATAGATTGATCAATCGAACTGATTTTAAGGAACTAGGTCACATTATTGTGGTGGCTGCTGAACCTGTACTCTACGGGATGGGCAGACAGCCTAGAACCTCAGGCAGGAATTGGTGCTGCAGTTATTTATTTATTTATTTATTTAGAGATGAGTCTCGCTCTTGTCGCCCAGGCTGGAGTGCAATGGCACGATCTTGGCTCACTGCAACCTGTGCCTCCTCAGTTCAAGCGATTCTTCTGCCTCAGGCCCCCGAGTAGCTGGGACTACAGGTGCCCACCACCTTGCCCAGCTAATTTTTGCATTTTTAGCAGAGATGGGATTTCACCATGCAGGCTGGTCTCGAACTCCCGACCTCGGGTGATCCACCTGCCTCAGCCTCTTAAAGTGCTGGGATTACAGGCGTGAGCCACTATGCCCAGCTGGTGTTGCAGTCTTGAGGTAGAATGTATTTCCCCAGATAGCCTTAGTTTTTGCTGTGAAGGCCTTTTGACTGACTGGATGAAGCCCACTCACCCACATTATGAAAGGCCATATCCTATACTGAAATCAATCGATTTTCAACATTAGCCAGTTACCAAATACCACCCAGCAACACCTGAGTTCGTGCTGGACTGAATCCCAGGTGACAACAGCCTGGCCAAGTAGAAGCCTAACACTGACCATCAAATGTCCCAAGACCCCAAGAGCTGCTGACCAGGGTTCAGTGGATGGGCCTAGAGGGCAGTGAGCTCCTGGAAGCAGCACTGTTTCTGGGCGTTATGGAAAATGGGCTCCTAACTTGCATTAGATGTTTAATGCTGAGGCAGTGTTGGGGGTGGCTCGTCTGTGCTGCCAGTGAGCAACGGAACAGTGCTCCCTCCACAGAAAGGCCCGGGCAGAGGCCGGGGAATGTGGGAGGAGGGTGGGGGTCCTCCTCCTCTGTGAGCCTGCAGGAGCTCCACCTCCCCGACAGGACAGGACCCTCGGCAGTGGGGAAAGAGACAGCCGCTGCTGGCTGTCCGGGAAGCAGGGCGGGGCTGGGGGTGAGGTAGGAGAGAAAAAAGAGACGGGACTGGGGGTACCCATGGGAGCCTCTGCTGGGAGGAGTGCAGAAAATAGCCTACAGGAACCTCGAGCTTGGTGACAGATTGCGCTGGGGACATATGGAAGGTCTCACCCTGGTCTGGGCGGGACGGCCAGGCTGAGGTTTGCACCAATCATGGGAGAGGACACTGGGAAGGAGGTGAAACTGACTGTGAAGGGCCCAGACCCTCAGGCTCAGGAATCTGGACGTAACCCCCAGACTTGAGGGTCTTTCAAGGGATTTTAAACAACCTTCGTGCTTTAAAAATCTACTCTAGGGACAGCGTGGGGAATCCATGCTGAGGAGGACATGCTGAAGGCAGGGGGTGCAAATAGGAGTTGGAAGACAGCATCCGGGGTAGCCGTGCATTCACACATTCACTCCTCACTCCCTGAGCACCTGCGGCATGCCAGGCCCTACTCCAGCATGGAAGCACGCAGCCACTCCACATGTACTCAGGAAGCTTCCGTTTTGGGGCGTCGTGCACAAATGAAGTACATGACGACTCTGCCTTATGACTGTGGTGTGTAAAGAACTACCTGAGCCTGGGTAATCTATAAAGGAAAGAGCTTTAATGGACTCACAGTTCCTGGTGTCTGGGAGGCCTCAGGAACCTTACAATCATGGTGGAAGGCGAAGGGGAAGGAATGCACGTCCTACGTGGAGCAGGAGACGGAAAGCGGGGGGAGCTTGCCAAACACATTCCAACCATCAGATCTCACGAGAACTCATGCACCATCACAAGAACAGCATTGGGGAAACCGCCCCCATGATCCAGTCACCCCTCCACCAGGTCCCTCCCTCCACATGTGGGGATTACACTCTGAGATGAGATTTGGGCAGGGACACAGAGCCAACACGTGTTATGGTGCGACAGGCCAGGAGCAGAAGTGGCAGGTGGTGGGGCGGGGGCTTCCTCCCATACAATGGTTTCGGGCTTCTCTGGTGGGGGGAGGAGGCCTGAACAAGCAGATGTTGTCCAACGCCTGGAAGAGGGGACGACATGTGTGAGGACCCTGAGGTCAAACCCAACCAGAAGGCCCCGTGGGTGGGGCAGGGGGAGCAAGGAGCAGGTGTGAGAAGTGGGAGGGTGGGGTAGAGGGCATGTAGTGGATGGGGCAGTGCCCGTGGGACCAGAGCCACGGGGTGGGTGAGGAAGGCTCAGAAGAGGCGGAGGGAGGAAGAGTCCAAGTTTCAGTGGAGCCCCTCATCATGCGATGCCCTTTCCCGCCCGGTCTGCCTTCCTCCTACCTGTGCAAAACCCACTGTCAGCTGTTTTGAGGAGCACAAGCCACATGAGGCTCTGTCTCAGCGGACTGGGGCTGCTAGAACAAGATATGGGTGGCTTAAACAACAAACATTTACTTTTTCTTTTTTTTTTTTTTTTTTGAGACAGAGTCTTGCTCAGTTGCCCAGGCTGGGGTGCAGTGGTGTAATCTCAGCTCACTGCAATCTCCGCCTCCCGGGTTCAAGCGATTCTCTTGTCTCAGCCTGCCTAGTAGCTGGGATCATAGACACCCACCATCACGCCCAGCTCACTTTTGTATTTTTAGTAGAGATGGAGTTTCACCATGCTGGCCAGGCTAGACTCAAACTCCTGGGCAAAGTGATCTCCCACTTCAGCTTCTCAAAGTGCTGGGATTACAGGCGTGAGCCACCACACCTGGCCCAACAAACATTTACTTGTTATAGTTGTGGAGACTGGAAAGTCCAAGATGCAGGTGCCAACACATCTGGTGTATTCTTACCTGGGAGAGAGAGAGAGAGAGAGGCTCTCATGAGGGCACTCATCCCACTGGGAGAGCCCCACCCTCATGACTTTATTACCTCCCAAAGACCCCACCTTCAAATACCAACACATTCAGCCTTTGAGGGAACTGAAACACTACGACAGACTCAGTCCCTGCTCACAGCCGACACAGATCAGCAGACTGAGCCGCTAAGAGGCAGAAGCCAGGTGCCGCCTTGACATTGCCCCCACCCAGCATCTAGCAGGGTAGCCTGGTGGCCAGAGGCATTCACACTGTCAATCCCAGGGGAGCCTAAGATGAAGAAGGAGAATCCACAGTCCCTCGTGGTGACACCGACGGGGTCTGGTGAGAAAACAGCCTTGCTTCCCATCAAGGGCGTAGCTGGGCCTCAAGTGCACACCCTGGGGGCTGCTCAGCCTACAGCGGCCGCTACACGTCCTCTAGGGTGCAGCCCAGGGCTCGGGAACTGGGCCTGGTAATGAGGCTGGCGCTGCTGATTTATCCCCAAGGAGGCTCTGCTGGCTTGAGAGAGACCCAGGGCCCGTCTTGGGGATAGGCAACGGGGCCATCCCCCCATCTGTCCAACCTCCGGCCTGACCCCGTCACCCGCTGGCACTCTCCCCTCTGACCCCAGCTTCGGTTTGGATACTGTGAGTCTCACCTGCAATTTCCGGGTCTGTGGCACTCAGGGCACCTTCTACCCATGAGGTGGTGAGCAGGGCCACCTTCTTACCGCTTCTCCCAGCCTGACGCGTTCCTGTTTGCATCGTGCAAAAGACATAGTCCCGTGACCCTCTGTGCTGTAATATTTTAAGTCAAGAGAGTGTGTGTCTGATGCGCTCCAGGTATTCAGAGGTTGAAAATGGTTTTGTTCTCTTGTTTTCTTTTTACAATGCAGTGTGAAGTCACAGCAGCCAGAGGAAATTCTGCCACCATTTTCCCGGAGCTGGTGTGCAGCCCCTCCCGCTGGGAACCTGCTCCTACAGCCATCCCTCTGCACACAGGTACGAGCCTCTTCACGCAATGCTTTCTGCTCCCCTCAAGCTGGTTCTCAGATGGGTGCTTCTCTCAGGCCTGGGGGTGGCCCATGGCCATGGGGGGGGCGACACATGAGGACGTCTGCAGGGGGAGCTTTGGTCTGCAGAGAGGAGGGTCCCCACTACAGGGTTTCCCGACCCTTCTGTGTTTTTCACCTGCCCTTCCCCAGTCCCCCCACTGAAATGCAAATCAGCGAGTATGTAATAGATAATTAATAGACTGATCAGCCAGCGAGGGAGGTAAGTAGATAAATAATTGTAATTATCCTTGGGTTGCCCATAAATCCCCTCACTGCCTTTTTATTAAACTCTCTGTTTACAGGAGTCATTTATATTGCATGTCATTTGGCCTCCCCCGCCTCCTGGGCGGCTCCCACCGGGGCTGACCTAGGGCGGAACAGCACTGTGTGACCGACACATCCTCTCCCGGTGGAGCTCGTCCTGGGCACAGGTGTCAAAAAGCTTTGCCCAAGAGGCCAGCTGGATGGCAACCGAGCCAATGCGCACGGCTCACACAAGGCCCTCCTTCTGCGCCCCGAGGTGGCCACAGCCTATATTTAGGCCCGAGCTGGAGGCCTTTATTATACTTGGCACCTGTGCTGTAGGTATGAGCTCATTCTTCTCCCTAGGGATGGCCTTGGCCTATTAATAGCCTTGGCTGAGGTTCCCTCCTTGCTCCAAGTGCCAAGAGAGAAAGTGGGTTAATAAATATCAAAGAAAACTCCCTCAGAGGGCCTGGGGCCAGACTCTCCCCGGCTCTCCAAGACTCGTGGCTGTCAGGCCCCAAACCAGGAGAGGGGTTTCCTTTTCCCCCAGCCTCTCATAGCCCTCCTGACAGAGGCCCAACACCCAGGCTGGTGGGTCTGAGGACCAGCCATGGCAGAGCGCTCTCGGGAGTCCATGGAGCCGGGGTGCAGGAGGTCACCGCCATGGGAGGCTGAGGAGGTCGGTGGGGCTGTTGGCATCTGGGTGGCCGAGAGAAGGAGGCAGGGAGGGCGCCCTGGACCTTCTGACACCTTCCTTCTGGCCTGGACCCTCTCATGTCCTTCTGCTGACTCAGCAGCATGGAAGGGAAGGGAGGAAGTGGCCTTCGGATGGCCGCCGAGGAAGACCCCATCCTCATCCTCTCCCAGGCCCGGAGGCTGCGGCAGAATCATTTTAGCCTGAGTTGGAAACAGTAAGAGAAGGGAGCCCCAGGAACAAAGCAGGGAGGGGAGGGGCGCTCCCAAGGGCAGGTGTGCCAGGGTGGGCTGGCAGCAGGCTCTGCTGCACTGATCCATTTGATCAGCCGAATTTCAGGAGAGTCACCCGCGTGCGGGCCGTGGATGGCATTCTGCATGGATGTGTGAGCCGCCCTGGCCTGGCGTGTTGTCGGCTAGCGCTGCTGAGTGCCCTGGGTCGGGGAAATGTCTCACAGCCCTGTCTGGTTTACTTTCTGCCATTTACGTGCACGGGTGCTCTTAGCAGGGCTCAGGGAGGTCACGGCCACCCAGCTGGGGACGGGCAGAGCTGAAGCTCAGACGTGGGTTATCTGGCTGCAGCAGCCGTCTGCAGGCCTCGTTTCAGGATATTTCTGAAGAGCATGGGGCCCTATCGGCTAGATTCGGTCTGTGCTTTCTGGCTTTCACCTGCTGGACATGAAGTCAGAGTGTGGATGCTGCCGCTTTTATGAAACTTGACCTTAGCTGAGCTCCAGCAGGGCGACCAGTGACGGCAGAGTCTGGGCAGCCTCCAGCCACTGGCCTGCACAGCCACTGCCCAGGGCTGGACGCTGGCGGCTACGTCAGGTCAGCCCTGGACGGTCAGCCAGGCTGTGCACTCTCTGCTGGTCGTTCTTCTCTCCTTGGAGAGAGGCTGGCTGCCCACGGCAGAGAGGGAATTCGGGCTGAACAAACAGCAAGGCCTTTTTAAGTTTCATTCAATGGAATTAAAGTCTGAAAAATGGCCCAGTGGAGGCTCCCTGCCCTTTCGGGAGTTTGTTCAGCTCAGAGCTGTGCGGCTCGTCCCCCCCACCCCAGCCCACACAGTCTGCACAGGAGGAGGACACAGGGCCAGGGGAGAGGCAGAAAGGTCTGACAGTGACTCCTCCAAAGGCTTTCTCCCGTGCTCAGGGGCTCACTGGAGGGGGGCGGCCAAGCCCATTTCATGTCCGTCTGTCCAGAGCAGGTGGACAAGGGGACGGGGCTCTGCCCATGCTTGGGAAATGGAGGCGGAAGCCTGTGTCTCTGAAACCAAATGGCAAGCCGCCTGGGACTGCTCTGTGTCGTCTTGTTTTTTTCAGATTATTTTGTGGGCCTTTTTAGGGTTTCTTATCTGATTCTGTTTTGGGGAGCTGGGATGGGTGGAAAAGAAAAACATAGGGATTGAAAGGCAGGATGAAACTGACCCCTTCACCCCAGTAATAGCTATGACAGCAGGGCATGGCTGACCACAGGGTTGCAGTCCCCCGCCCCCACCTCTCCCCTTCCCCACCACATAGGCAAGAATTTTACTGGCTCTGCTTCACCTGCCTGATCTTCAGGAACTGAGCCCCCGGGGCCACCATCAGAGGGATTGATGATTGATTAAGAATAACCAGAGCTGTGCTTCCTGCCCTGACCGGGTGGTGGCCCGCCCACCCTGCTGAAACAGCGTCCTCAGAGCAAGGCTGCAGGGGAATCCACCCAGCCCCCTAAGTACAGGGCTCAGGATAGCGTCCGTGGAAAGTAACGGAGAGCATGGGCATGAGACGCGGTGTGAGGGAGGAGCCAAGAGAAGGAGGTGGGGGGTTTGGTTCTTCCACAGACACCAGCAGGTGTAAGCAAGACTGCCCCGAGGGCACGGCCCCTTTCGCAGCCAGCCCTCCCTCATGCAGCCCAGTGGCCACCAGCACCTTTTGATTTCCATCCTCTTTCATTCTGATCCCATCAACTTCCTTCCCCTGGGGTCAGGAGGGTCTGGGCACCTTCTGCAAGATCAATATCTTTCTTTTTCAATTAAACTCAGGCCAGTATCTTTTTATTATTACACAAGCGATAGATGTTTTTGTAGAAAATACCGACAAGAAAAACAAGTAACAATCTGTCAGAAATAACCGCAGCCTACACCTCAGTGCGCGTCATGTGTGTGATCTTCCATCATATATATGCATATATTTTTTGCTTTGTAACCTGTTGTTTTTGCTAGACAGTATTTTCAGGAACATACATTTAGGTTGCTGTTAACCTCATTCTTCATGATTGAATATCATTCCATTGCGTAGAAAAACCATAACCAATTCCTCGAGCCTGTTTGCAAGTGCTAAGACAGGCATTAGCCACCGACCCTATTTCCAAAACTCTGTGCTACACTCTAAGAAACTAGAAGATTAATTTTCTAAACGGGAATTAGAAAATGATTATTCACATTAGAAAGGAGTCTGCAAACATACACTCCAAAGAGCTTCTTTGAGAAATGGGCTCCCTGGGGCATGAAAACTTCCTGCAGTGGGCAAAACCCCACGTCACAGGTAGCTGCAGAGTGGGTGGTGCATCTGACTTCGTGTTCCTTCCTCCATGGAAATCCTTCCCAGGTCCACCAGATGCATGTGGGGGCATGTATACACACACACACACACAGGCCGACATGCACACACACACACACACACACGCACACAGGCAGACATGCGCACACACACACACA